CAAGCCTTTCACAGAGTTGTTTTTGGAGACATTTAAGATACAAACCATAACAGTAGGGAAGGCATGAGACATGCTTTTTGCCTGTTTTGCAGGGCACTAAGCCTTATGCTGGAGACTTCCTTAGTGACCCAATCCCTTAAGCACCAAAGGGATTACTACCTTTCAGCTATAGGCCCAACCTGGCTTCTGAGTTCCAGGTGCCTCGGCCCCGCTGCCTGCAGGCTGCTTTCCTCTGAATGTCCCCAAACCTCTGAGACTCGGAGTTATTAGCCTGCTTTCTGCCCCAACCCGCTCCTCATCTCTGTGTTAGGAGCTGCTGTCTCCCCAAAACTAAGGAGTCTGCCTTGTGCCCCACTCATCCTAGCGAGTCTGCCTCCATATGGCCATCTACGTCTTCTCTGGGGCATCTTCCCACACCCTGAGCACAGAGCTTATCATCCATCACTGGAACCACGGCAGGAGTGGCTCCACACTCTCCTGTCACTGATTTCTGAAGGGTAGATTTGTCACCCTTAGAAACTTCCCCAAACTTTCCAATGCTTCTGTAGAAATTTACATTCCTTAGTGTTATGTAACAAGATAAGCAAGCACCACCCCCCAAAATATTCCCCTGAAGATTACAATCAGTGGAGGGGCATTTGGACCTGGAGCAAAGGTGAAAGTACCCGCTGCTCTACGTGGCAGACAGAGAGTTGGCCTAGGCTCAGAGAACAGTGGAGTTGGAACACCCTGCTAAGTAGACACTCACGGTCCACTCACCGGGAGAAAACATTCAACACCTGCAGCTTAAAGGAGGAGAGTCTTATTTCAGCTCACAGCGTCAGTGGGTTCAGCCCGTGGTCGGCCAGCTGTAAGACAGACACAGTGTGGTGAGAGCCTGGTGGAGGCCAGCCGCTCAGCCCTGCATCAGGAAGCAGAGTCTGCGTGGAGCAGCCTAGGAGGAGAACACACTCTTCCAGATCGCAGCCCAGCAGCTCTTCCTGCTAACCTGTCTCACGTCTGAACTGCATATTCAGCTATGAACTCATCAATGACTGATAAGCAGAGTGCCTCATGTGACAATAACCTTCCTAAAGCCACACCTCTCAATACTTAAGACTCAGGTGACACTCCAGGCTTAAATCCTAAGAGGTGTATTGGGGAAAATGGGTTGGTGCAGGGAAGTGGGTGGCGCTCTGAGAAGCTGGGCTGAGGTGTATCTAAAACAGCTGTGGGAACAGAAGCTGAGTCCACTACGGCTGAATGCTGGAGACCACTGTGTGATCATCATCTTCCTAAGCACCCAGCTAGACTACATTTCCCAGTTCTCCTTGCAGTGAGGTGGAGCTAAATGGTAAGTTATGGCCAATAGCATGTGAGGCAGGTAATTTCCCGGCCAGTAAGACATCATCTTAAGAATCACAATGCGGAAGGGGCCTGAGTTCCACACAGCCCACTTCCCCTTCTTGCATATGGGCATGTGTAGTGACATGTTTCTGCTGTCAAAGCAAGAGACGGTGGTGTTGTTAGCTGTGGTACTTAGCTTGTCCTGACTAACCCACAATTTCTGCCTGCGTGACACTCTGAAAAACATCTTTCCATCAGTGCAGGGCGTATGTGTCCCTTTGTGCTGTGTCAGTTGAAGGGTTTTCACTGGGCTGACAGCTGGATTTTTCTGTAGTTTTTTTTTTCTCCATTCATAATTATGTTTTCCCCTCCCCAGAACTATGGACTGAACCTAGGGCCTTTACACTGGGCTACAACCCCAGCCACTGCTACTGTCCTCTCAAAACAGGGTCTTGCTAAATTGCCTAAGCTGGGCTCTAATTTGTATTCCTCCTGCCTCAGCCTCCTAGAGTGTTGGGATTATAGGAATGCACCGCTATGCCCAGCTATATATAATTATCTTTTAATCATACAGGCTGGCCATAAAGACCATCTCACTCTCCTCATTTGTAAAAATCTGGAAACGTTAACAATGAAATGCAAGTCCCTTTTTAGTCCTTCCCCCCCTCCTAACCCACCACCACCACCACCACTGTACAAGGACCTTTCCAACAGTCTCGAATGTTGTTACAGGCAGAGTTGTCAGATTCAAAATGGAGTCACTTGGGTCAAACTGACAGTGTACAGCTGGAGAAAGACACAAGCGAGGGCTGTCATCTATAATTTGCTTGAGAACAGGAACAATTACAACCAAGTTTTCCAAACCAGAGCTCACTACATGAGTCACCCAAAGGGTGACTACAGAAACTCCAGGAGCACCATCTTTGCAAAAACACTTGTCTGACACTGTCTCAAAAAACCAAGCCAACAAAGTGGCCTAGAATGACTTTAAGATGACAAGCTTTACCTCGCAGCTGCCACCAGTCACCGGTCAGAGTTTACCAGCCCCCCAAAGACACTGCCAACCCTGATGAACTTGCGAAATAGTTTATGTAACTTTTCTTTCTTTCCCAGTAAAACCTCAACTGTCTCCTTTGATCTTTGGACAGAGCAGAGGCCACCTGTGTCTGCAGATGTGTTCCAAATGGCAATATTATTCTCTGTATATCCTCAGATAACTCCCTTGCTTGGAGACTTATCTACCATTTCTTGCAACCCTTTTTGAATTGTTCTTTCAAATCTTTTAATGAATTTTTTTTTTTGTTTTGAGTTTTGAGACAAGCTATCACTCTGTATTTTAGGTTGGTCTTGAACTATGTAGCTCAGGTTGCCTTTGAACTCATGGTGGTCCCCCTGGGTCAGCCTCCTGAGTGCTGGAATTGCGGGTGTGTGCTGCCACACCTGGCTTTTATGAATTTTTATCCATAAATATTGTGATTCTACTTCTCCTTCTCTTTTGTCCCTGTATATAATATGTGGTGATTTGTCACTTGATTTATTTGCCTGATAGCACAATACCTCTTCAAGCATGATGTCACAGATTTACCATGTTTAAACAGTTGCATAGAACTTCACAATCATGGATCCCCTGGAGATGGACATTTCATGAATTCCTTGAAGACGGACATTTTGGTTTTCTCATTGAACATCACAACAGTAAACATGCTTACACAGGCACCCCGGTGCATGTGTGCAAATATTTTTCCATGTGAGATATTAGCAAATGGATTTTCTGTGCTTCCAAGTGCTTGTGTTAGTTTGCAGTGTCACCAGAGGTACTTAAAATTTCCTATTTCTGTTCCCTCATCAACACTACATGTCAAGTTTTAAATTTTTTAGCCAATCGAATGAGAAAAATATGGTTCATAGTAGCATAATGCTTTATTTCCTTGATCATTAGTGAAAATGAACATTCTTCAAGTTTATTGGTCATCTGAATTTCCTTTTCTATAAATCGACTTCTTTTTTATCATTTGCTGAGTGTTCCATTGGGTCATTTATCTTTTTCTTATTGATTTGTTAGAGTTCTTTGTATATTCTGGATGCTAATCCCTTATCTGTGATATAAATTGCAAATATTTTCTCCCGGGCTATGGCTTGTTTTCAGCTTGTTTATGGTGTCTGTTGTCGCTTAGAAACTTCACATTTTAGTGTCACACCATCAATCCAGTGCTCCCTTTGTGCTGCTTGCTCTGAGCCAGTCTTTCTGCAGCTGCGACACCGCAAGGCACAGAAGCAGCAGCCAGGAACTCAGGCCCTTCCTCCAGTGGACGGGGAGATTTATCTGGGCGTCACTGTGAGACAGCTGGTTCCTGCTGAGGGTCACAGATTTAGCTCAGCTCGGGGTGACTGGAGGAGGCCTGGAGGACAAGTGCTGCGGGGAGAGAAGAAAGACTCTTTATTCTAATGGGGAGATTTTTTTCTGTGTTGATTAAACTAGACATATAACTTTGATTCCACGCCTTTCCTAATCCAGTCTCCCTTTATACTTGTGTTGTAAACCATCCCCTCCATGGAGCCAAGATTCCAGTTAGATCAAATTCTCTACCAAACCCTGCTTCCATGCCTTTTAATAGAAATGATGATGGCACTTAATCTGAGCCAGGCTCTGCTAAGCTATTTGCATACCACGTTACCAGTCAGGGTCGGCCCAGGAACACAGAACTCCAAAATCCCACACCTTACAACTGCCAAGGTCTATTGTCCCTCAAGCAAGCAGCTGGTCCAGGGCAAGTTGGCTGAGGCCTGGCAACATTTTTATTGACTGACTGACTGATGATATTCCTTCCAGGATCCACAGAGCCCAAGAATTTTCTGTATGGAGCATTGTGATTATGATTGTTGCTTCCTAAGAGGAGAAAAGGCAGCAAAGCACAAACCGGCTCTTACAGTTTCTGTCTAGCAAAGCACAGTGCTCCCATGCTTAATTTCACTGACCAAAGTAAGTCACATAGTTAAGACTGACATCAAGGGGCTGGGGCACAAGTGACTGAGTTCAAGTTCAAAGCCCAAGATCTTCCATGATGCCTGGAACTGCTTTATCAGACAGAAGAGATAACTGACCCATCTTTGGTTCAGAGCTCTATGACTCAAACAAGCCTCACTGCCCCATCTGCAGCGAGGCGGGACAAGTGCTCACAGTTAAACATTCCCGTTCTGAAGGGACAAGAACAGAGACACACGGCAGTCACAGCTCTGCAGGGATTCTGGAATCGTGCTGGGCACACAGTTCAGGGGATCCCCGTGCCGGGCTTGGGGACTCTCCTTGATAAGGGCCTGTTTCTTGTTCTAGGAGGAAGGTCCAGCTGGAAATTTGCCATGTCCTTTTTTCTAAGGCTGAATCACACAAAATCCACTTTTAAGGTGAAAATGGTTGATTTTTGGCACTTTGTGTGGCCATACCCATCCCTTTTCCACACTGGAGTCCACCCAGTTTGGAAGCTAAGCAGATTTGTCAGCGTCGTTTTCTAACCTGGAAAGACAGAAAGCCCAAGGATAGTACTGAGTCTTAGGCAGTCATGATATCTTAGGCAAGGCTGGTTGTTCTCAGTGTCGGGATGGGAGTACAGCCTTCCACATCATGTCTGTACATCTTTCTGAAGAAATGCTTTCATGGTTTTTTTGTTTTTTGACAGATAAGAAAACTGAAGTTCAGAGAAGTTAAGTATTCTGTTCCAAATCACACAGCTGGTACGATTTTAAGTGCAAGTCCAGTTTCATTGCCTATTCAAGCAGAAAAAGGTAAGATTTTTGTCATAGGCTGCAGATGGGCTGGGGGCTGGGTCCCTCTGACCCACTGTGCTCAGTTTGGATTTTTATTCTTGCATGCAATGATGTTTCCATCATGGAGCTTTTAGCAGCTGCTCTTCCTGCCATTTCTTCTCATGTCTTCAATCAATTACCTGGCGGGAGTTCTGATTAGCGTGTCCTAGGTCAGAGGACATGGGCAAGCCAATGACTGTCTCAAAGTGGGTCAGATATTCTAATAGCTCAGGCTGAGGCATAAAACATGGGTTCCGAGGCAGCAGGATGCTAGGGGGAGTGGTTTTTATGTACCGTTGCCTGGAATCCCCAAGCACTAGCTATAAGTGGTAGTAACATAGCTTAGGGGATTCATTACACGTGTTAAGTACACTTAACCTTCACAACAACCATATCATGCAGACATCATTATTACCCCATTTTATAGACCGGTAAGTTGAGGCTCGGAGATTAAAGAATTAGCCCATAGTTTCACATTGCAAGCCTCATGGCTAAATGAAAGCTCTTACTCCTATACCATCAGGTCCACTTGCATCTCTTCATTGAAGCCTTCCCTGATTCCTGTGTCCAGAGGCTTCTATATGCCTTTCTCTTGCTCTCAGGAGATGAGCACCTTTTGCCTGGTGCTTTGTCTCAGGGTGGGCAGGGGTTCATCTCTGCATGCTCCTTCATGAATTTGCTCATTTGTGGCATCTTTATTGAGCACCTAGCTCTGCATATACCAATAGAGTCCCTGCTTTCACACAGTTTATTGTCCAGAAGGGAAGACAGACATTAAGCAGATAATGATACCAATAATTATTTAATTGCAATTGTTATAAACGTTATGAAGAAGTCCAGAGGGGCTATGAGCATTTATAACTGGAGACCCAACTCTGGAGCCTGGGGACAATGTTTCAGAGAAGCCAGTGTTTAAGCTGAGTTCCCGAAGGAGAGGTAGGGATTAATGAGGAGAATGGGGAGGAGGAGCTTGCAGGCAGTGGAACAGCAGGAGGAGGTCCTGAGACTCCAAGAACCTGGTGTTCTGAGCCTGGTTCAGCGGGGCAGGGTGGGATGAGCCCAGCAGCCTGGCACTGCTGTTCGCATGTCTCTCCGTGCACCCACACCGTCAGTGCAGGCCTGCTTGCCGGAGCTGGAGCAAAGGCTTACCAAGCCAGCAGCCGCACCCCGTGCCCCTGGGTCAGGAGGGGGAGGCAGCAGAGGACGCGCATGGCACACTTTTTATATATGTGCAGCCATAATATTTAAGTGTCTTGGCTGTAAGCCTGCGACGAGGTCCCCCGACAGCCAAGCCTTGCTCCGCACGCTCTAACAGCTGTCTGTAAAACCCGTTTATGGAGCCTCCATAAATTTCCCAGCTGCTGCAAACCACAGGGCTGGGGACAAAGAGTTGGAGGGAGGGAGGCTGGGAGAACAGCGGCCTCAGCATCTCTGCTGGCTCGTCCTCTGGGCCCCAGCTTGCCCCCTGCCCACCTGGGGCCGCCTTACCCTAAATTCTTTTATTGAAACTGATCTTAACTCAGACCTCGTGGGGCCCGCTGGGCAATCTAGCTCAGCACGGATGCAGGCACTTTCAAGATTGCAGCAAAAGGTACAGTAAATCAGAATTAAGTGTCATGATAGTGATTTGAACTGACACTGTTTTCACCTTGTCCATTTACTGGGAAATATATAACAGGAATAGATTGAGCCTGTCATATTGTACCTGAAAAATACAGCTGTTAGGGTAGGAACGGCAGCTGGCACGGAGGCGGGGTCCCAGCGGACAGTGGGGTGTGTGGTTAGTGGAGGGGGGCTCCTTGTCAGCAGCCTGTTAGATTGAAAGCTTGTGGTGACAACCGAGGGCCAGACTGTGCCTTTCCCAGGGTCCTTTCGAGAAAGTCACCTGACCAGTCTCCCGGGTGGTCATGTTCCACATGTCCCACACCTACCAGCCCTGCAGTCCTGGGGTCCCACCAGCTTCGTCACAAAATCTGTCAGAAAAATTTGTTACTGAAGTATGGTGTAGACACAGAAAAGCACACAAATTATAAATTAATCTTACCCACACTGTGTGCCTCACACGCAGTTGGAGAGAGAACACCCTGGCCTCTGGAGAGCCCTGGCCTCTTCCTGAGGGGAGACCACTCCTCTGATGGCTGCAACTCTGGTCATTTTGTACGTGGCATTTTTAATGAGGTCATTCAGAAATTCTCACCTGTCTTATGAAAGACATTTTGAAATTCCCACCTGTTATTTGGGCCTCCAGGAAAAATAGGGCCTTTTAAACAAAATTTCCAAGCAGACTGGAGGTGTGGCTCAGTGGTGAGTGCTTGCTTACCATGTATGAGTGCTTGCCTAGGTCCCATCCTCAGCACCGAAACAGCAAACAGACAAAAAATGAAGATAAAATAAACACAATGAAATGTATAAGAAATGTGAGTAACAGATGCCTTGGTTTCTCTTCTCCAAGATCCTGAGCAATATTGCCCAGGCTGGGTGTGCAAGGTGGATCTGGGTAGGGGTGTGGGGTGGGTCAGGATTCGGAAAGCAGGAGCTTTCCGAATTGGGGTTGAACACAGTAAGGGAGTGGAGCCTGGGGCAAGCAGGGGTGGGGTTCAGGGAGGGAAGAAAGGTGGGACTGGGGTGAGGCTGGGCCTAGCTAGAAGGGCTGAGTGAGGGTCAAGGATGAATGGAGGGTCACTCGCAAGGTGAATTCAAAACCAGGGCGGAGTCGTGATCAGAGGGAGTCATGGAAGGAGGGGCTGTGGTGGGCCCCAACTTTACAACGCTAGAAGGTGCACGCGAGGTCCCCGGCCCACCCATTTGTCAGAACACGGAGGAATAAACAGCTCCTGCATCCAGAGCTGAGCTGAGGGCAGGAGGTTGCCCGGGCGCCCCCGTCTGGCGGCCCCAGGTATTACTCCTCTCTGCGGCTCTGCAGCTGCCATTGGCCTCCTCTATCCCGCTGGGCCCCAACTCTACTGAATCCATCCTGCCTGGCGAGACTCATCCTCCCCTACTGCTGTGGGACATGCTCAGGAGGGATCACCCTCTCGGGAACAGAGAGTTGTCCACTCTCCATGAAGAAGCCAGCCCCACCTCCCTCCCTGCAGGATCCCTGTCCTCCTGTCCCGCCCACTCTCCCAGGCCACAGTCTGCTGTGGCCACGCTGCTCTCTGCTCCGCAGGGTGCTCTCTCTCTGCCCCTGGTTGTAACCTTCAGTGCCTTGATCTTCAGCCCTGTTTCCTGAGACCACCCCATGGGGACATGTCCCCGGAAACCCTCCTTGTGCCTACAATCTCCCCAGGCGCTCCGGGATCCAGGGGGGCAGGGCCAGGCCTGGCCTGCGGGGTCTAGCACCGTGCAGCCTGGCACAAAGCCACCGCTTGGCAAGTTCCCGTTGAATGGCTGACAGGTAAGGAAATCTAGGCCTGAATCCTGAGACTTGGACTTGGAGCAGTATTTGACTGCTGTGGACTCCAGGTGTAAGATGAGATCACCAGTTGGAGCCCAGAGTGGGCGGCTTAGTGACTTAGCGAGGCTCTGGCTGAAAAACAGTGTATGTATTTAAAGGGCTGGGAATGTAGCTCAGTGTGAAGGCCCTGGGTTCAATTCCCCAGTACCCTTCCCCAAATAATTAAATAAAAAGGAAGGATGTGGGCTTTCTCCAAAGCTCGGTGAAAATAGGGTACCAGTGTGTGGCACATACAGGCACTCAGCAGGTGCTACTGCTATCTTTCATGCATTCTCCTCCTACCGCAACCACTACTGGTGGTATTTCTGTACCTCCTCCTACTGGGTTCCAGCATCCTCTGCCCTGCCTCCACCTTTGAGGTCTAGGTGCTTTCACTTATGGCCTCAGGCTGCATGCTTACTCCTCAGTGGGCCCCTGGGAGCATCAAAGTCAAGGCAAAGTGTGGCAGGACTTCCAATCCTTTGGAATCTGGCAGCCTTGACTCCCTGGGGGGTGGAGGGGACAGGCTTTTCTCCTTAAAGCGCCCTGTCTTGCCCTCTGCTGGGCACAGCCCTCCCCTCCGGATCCTGCTTGGCAGCCTAGGGCCAGCCCCAGGGGAGCCGCAGAACCACCTGGCTGATGGCAGCAGGAGTGGCCGTGGTCTTGATGAAGAGCCTTTATCGACCTCCCTCTGCGGATGCGGTGACATCACTCACAAGCCGGGGGACTGCAGCCTGTTCATCTGGGGCTCAGACCCAATGAGGTTGGGATTTCTCATCAGAGGGCCACTCGAGGTTCACAGTGGAAAGTGTTAGTCTAATGAATTCCCTGAGTGAGGGTGCTGTCAGGCATTGATCACAGCCCGGCTGGGAGCCTGTGAGCCCTTGGGCCAATCCCCTCAGGGCTCATCTTTTCTGGAAACTTCAGAGCCTCATAGTGCCTCAAGACAGGGATGGAAATGGCTCTTGAAGTGTTTCAGGCTGCTCTCTGTCACCCTCTGAAGCCTCTCTGCTAGGGCTGGTGCTCTCTGGGAGAATTCGGGTCCAAGAGTTCACCCCGAATCTCAGTTTCTGTTTGTACAGTGGCATGGGAGGCATCGCCTTACCGGAGACTGCAAGGCCAAAAGGACATGTGTGTGTCAGCTGCCTGACTCGATGCCTGGTATTCAGGTCTCCATGCATGCGGGGTCCCACCCGCCCCTCTCCTTTCCTTCCTCCCCAGATGGCAGGATCTGGTTTATCTCCACCTCCACAATGCACATGTGAGGTTTGTATGATGGTGGATTCTCGATCAATGAATGTACACATAGGTGAACGAATGAATGGAAGAAACTCAGCTTCTGGAACACCAGATGCAGGCTTTATTCTTTGGGCCAAAAATATGAGAGGGTTGTTGCACAGTCCTGGACACACAGCCGAGTGTCTCCTCCGTCTCCTGTCCCATTTCACCTCTGCACTGTGGTACTGGGCATAGTGGCGTGGGCCACAGGGAATGGCAGAGGGTGTGGTGTCGTTATTCCTTTGCTCAGGAACCACCCATGGTT